AGAACACACTGGTCTATCCTGAGCCCAGGCTCCCAGTTCCTATGCTACACTACAAAAGCAAAGAGCTTAAATACGTGTCTGGATCAGTAAGTGGTAAGGCCAGATACATGGCCAGGGGACAGACTCTAAAGGAATTTGAAGGATGCTAAACAAGTTTATCACTCAGGGGTTGGGGAGGCAAAATCAGCATTTAAGACAAAAAAAAAAAAAATGCTTAGTTGGTACTGCATTTTACACAATACTCTGAAAGTGATAAGAAAGATGGGGGGAACCGTGAAGAGCCTCAAGAAAAGAGCCTACTTCAAAAGACAGACCAAGGCAAAGGGAATAAAGATGCAGAGTAAAGGGCAGATCTGAAAGACTTTCCTGAGGCAGAATTGATGCAATATGGTGGAGGATTAGATCTGGGGCAAGAGGAAAACAAGTAAATGAGAAGACACTAAGTTCGTAACTTGAGATCACAACTCATCCAGTTTCCCATCAATCACGATAAATAGTCAAGGACACATGACTAGAGAAAAGATAACAGTAGCTCAGTCATGCACCAACTGTATCATGTTCTGACTGCCTCATCTTCATAATCCTCATCAACCTGGCAAAACTGTAATCTTCTTTAAGGCAGAAATAATTCACAAGTAGTTTGTACCCACATATCCACTCAATGTTCACTTCAGTAGCAAATAAAAATTCAATACAATTCATCAAATGTTTGTTAAATATGGAAACTGTACAAGGTACGGTGCTCAAAAAGTTCTTGCTGACCAAATGTAGAAATCATAAAAGACCACAATATATGCAGTTTTAATCACATAAAATTATAAACATCTACAACTTAGAAGAAAGACAAATGACTAATTTGTCTAAAGACACCAATCCTTGTGTTGCTTGTTCACTCTGTGACAGAGTTACCAGAAGAGTATGGCAAGAAATAAACCTATTGAGATCTGGAGTTGTTTTGTTTTTGTGTATTCAGGATAATGAATATACCGATCACCTCACTTAACTCCTACAATAACCCATTCTCAACCCCTTTAATGACCCATGGTCAGCCCCATTAAGCTGAGGCATGAAATAAAAAACAAACAAACAAAAAAAACCCTGCTCTGGTTCTATAATTAATAAGTGGTAAAAAGAGGTGAAGACATAATTAAAACCCACATATTTTTGGCTTGAAGGCCCATGTGATGTGGAGCGAATTCGGACCCCACAATTAAATAATTGAGGAGACCACCACTCTGTTATGAGAACAAGCCCTGTGCATGGACAGAATGGGTTCTGGGTGTGCACAATGCCTTGAAGGAACAGTTCCATTCCATAAAAGAGCAACATTAGCCACCAAACATGAACTTCTCCTCTCAGCTAGTAAGAGATTAGCATTTTTTTTTTGTGGGGGGAGTACTGGGGATTGAACTAAGGGGCACTCGACCACTGAGCCACATCCTCAGCCTTATTTTGTATTTTATTTAGAAACAGAGTCTCACTGAGTTGTTTAGTGCCTGCTTTTGCTGAGGCTGGCTTTGAACTCACGATCTTCCTGCCTCAGCCTCCTGCCCCACTGGGATTACAGGTAAAATAAGCATTTTTTGAGTCACCATTGGACAGGCAAAATTATACTTCCATAGATATCTCTATATCTTGGTTTTCTTATATGGAAAAGTGAACAGTAAAATCTACTCCGATAATTTTTTGAGAAAATTAAAATCTTCACCCAAAGAATAAAATTGACATCACCTCTAAAGTTATTTTTAAAACAAAAGCTCCATTGCAATAAATCCTATTCAGCTCCAATATCATCAGTATGAAGCCTGTCTTGACGACCCCCCCAACAGCATTCACTGCTCTCCTCCTCTAACTTCTATTATGCTTCCAGAAACTGATGCTATTTTGTTCTTTGCATTATAACATAAGCAATCATTTGCTTTCCCATCTCCCTTACTATACGGTAAGCCACTTGAAAATGGGGTCAATGGCTTATATATCTTGTAATATGAAGGGAATTAGGACATGCCACTCCAATATATGCTGCTTTGGAATACTGATTATTTTGAGTGGAAGGCAACTGAGAAAAAGCAGATGTAAGAACAGTCCTCTAATGTCTCCTTCTACCTAAAAGAAGGGCATATAAGTTCCTATGACAAAGGTATTTTCCCTATATAAGAAAGAGAAGAACTTTTTTTATCATCAAAGGTGGAAGGTCAACACTAGGATAAATCTGTACAAACTTACAATAAGAAAAACTTATTTTCCATTAGTTTCCCAATCTCTTTCCTAAAATTTACCACCTCTAGCCCCAAACCCCCTTTTACCTTTGTCTCTTCACATCTCCACAGTTCATTAGTTTTTGTTAAAATGGTGTATAAGTTCTCAGCCTATCACTTTCTTTGGGTCTTCATTTCTTATACATGTGAAGACGTCTCTGCACACATAAAAATACTAATATCAAATGAAAATTGTATGCTTTTCTCCTGTTTTGTCAGTTTGATTATCAGGCTCAGGCAAAGAAGCTAAGAGAGTCTTTCCTTTTCCTCCCTCGCGGATACCAACATCTGTCTAGGGCCAGAATATAGAAAAAAATGTTTCATAGCAAAAAATAAAATAAAAACATTTTATTTTACTTCAACCCTTTTTAGAAATTATTATAATTGTACACATTCTACAACTTGGGGAAACGGAAGGCTCCAAGTTGAAAATGACTGTCTACAAACATAGCATGAAGCCATGCTTGCCCCGAACCCAGGTCTCTGGAAACCTGTTCTCACCACTCTACTGTGTGTAGCCTTCAAAGACAACAAGGGGTAAAGGCCCATCACAGACCATCTAGTCCATCAAACAGAAAGGCAGCAAGGACTAAATGGTATTACGGCATCTTAGAAAGTCATCTGGGAAAGTACAGGGAACAGCTTTAAAGTATAAGGAAAGTTGGCAGACTTTCCTGCGTCTAAATCCAAGTTCACTCTGTCTTTAACCCTGTGTGACCCTAGGCACAGCTCTTAAACTTAGGACCCTCAGCTCCCTGATCTATAAAATGGAGTTGAAAACAATGATACGTACCTCTTCAGGCTTTCTATGTAAGAATAAAAGAGTTATATGAAACACTCTAAGGATATGGTACTAATTACATTTGTTATTATTATATATCAAGAAAAACTGGCAAATATTAAATACTTGTGCTACAAAGTATTTTTCCTATCCTAATTTATTTCATCCCCACTAATAGGCGCTAGTAGTTTGATCTTCTGTTGAGAAAACAGATTCACAGCCATTTCAGTAACTTGTCCAGGGTCATATAAGTTGCACACTAATGTCTTTCTGCATCCAAAGTTTTTGCTCTTTGCAGTATTGGCATCCCAGATTAGCTTTGAGGAAAGATATATAAAATCAGATATGCCCTAATATAGGTCAACATGAGGTGCAAGAAGTGAAAGGTTAGATCATACTCATATGTAACATGGGATAAGCATTAAAGATATTCGGAAAGATTTGGGAGTGTAGCTCAATGGTAGAATACATGCCTAGCCTAGGATGTGTGAGGCCCTGGGTTCCATCCCCAGCAATCTGCTAAAAAAAAAAAAAAAAAAACATAAAAATACAGAATTAGGCACACAAGATACAAAAGGGGCAATAAATGTTATGTCCCTCAATTTCTTCCACAGTGAATAGCATAAAAAAGTAGTAGAAATTACTCATATTCATTTCTTAGAGTCTTGAGGTTAAAAATCCTGTATTATAATGCACACATACTATTTCCTCATGATTTTGCTACCATTTGTTATGTCCCAGAATATGTTCTGAAACAAACAGAGGAAGTTCAGAAAAGTCACAGGAAATGTTTGATCTCCTTTACTTCCAAGAAAGGGACACAAACTCTACTAGGTTACTTTCTTAATTGCATCATTAACACCAAGCCATGTTGGAAGATGATTCAGGTAGAACAGCAGTAGGTGATTCAAATCATCCTACAGAAAAAAAAAAAAAAAGCTATTTCACAACAACACAACGAAACCCAAAAAATTGTCTTTTGGTGTGGTTTGTTTTTCACACACAGCTTCCTCAAGCTGGGAACAAACAGGCTTTCACATTTCTCCAGTCAAGGTCAAGGAAACCTTCACGTTGTGAATGTTTCAAGTATGCAGTCAGGTTAGGCATATGTAGAAATAGTAGTGAACAACAAATGGGGCAAGGAGTGGGGAAGGGCAGGGGCACTTCCAGGGGATGGAGAGAAAGTTCTTCTTAAGGGAGCCCCCACATCACCTGAAGCCACAAGGCTGTGAACTCAGATAGATATTCAGAACAACTGAAGAACAGACTTGGAGAAGGAACTCAACCAAAAAGAGGTGGTTGGGTGAACTTTGATAGGTTGTAAAATCATTTCGTCCCTTCAAATTCATGAACCTACAGAAGCCCAAGGTCCTCTTCCGATGAATATATCTTCCTATGAACTTTTCCAAAGTAGAGCTAATGTCACATAGGGAGAGCAGATTTCACAGAAAACTCATTCCTCAGAGACTACCTGTAAACCCAGAAGTTTTTGTCTTCATATGATCAAATACTCCCTAGAACTCCCCTTGCTCTCCCTCCCCCCCATTCCAAACGCTATGCCCCTCACTAGCAACAACCCACGCCCAGGCACTCCTCTTCGGTCGGTGGCCCCTGAAAGGCCTCGGGCTCATCAGAGCTGCGGGGATTCGCGGGAGCACCCCTTCCTCTCTGTGCCATCCCCATTATTCGGCACACAACCCTGCTCTCCCCTGGAGCCAACAGTCTGCAGCTCCTTCCTTCAGTGCAGGCGCGAGCAGGCAGGAATGGTGGGAAAAGAAGCTGTGCCAGCTGCATGTTTCAGAATCTCCCTCCATATGCATTTGCCAAAGGAACAAAAAGAAAATCAACGCCAGGAAAAGACAACTGAGATGAGGATGCGGTGGGACCGCGGCTGACTCGGTGCCTCTTAGCAGCCAGGGGCTGGCCAACCACGCGTCCGAGCCACAGATCCGAGTCGTTACCTTCAGGATGCAGGCCATGGCGCTCCGCCGGCCCTCCTGCCACCGAGCAGCGGGCGCGCCTGGGTCAGGGGCAGTCCCGACGGCGGGCTGGAGACTGGTACCGTGGCAGGACCACTCCAGCCCACATTCCCGCAGATCCAAATAAGGGGACCGCGGCGCGAGCTGCGCGGCCCCAGGCCCCGCCCCCCCGAGCCGCGGCCCCGCCCCCGGCCCCGTCCACTGGCCGGCGGCCCGCGCAGCCCCGCCCCCGGGTCACGTGCCGTCCCGGGCGCCGGCGCCGGCGGCCGCAGCCCTGGGTTCCTGCTACCTCTTTTCTTCTTCTTCTTTTTTTTTTTTTCCGCGAAACCGTTCTGTGTAGATCAATGTATGCAAATTCTTCTCTGCAGCAGGCAGGGATGTGGGTCCCGCTGGGAAGAGAAAGCGGCCTTTTCTCCTCGGTTGGGTCCCCTCTCACACATCAGAGAACTCCTAACAGACATTTCACACTTTTGAAAAAGTTAAACGGGTTTGGCATCGCCCTTCTGCAAGGCTTTGGGTGCATCAAAGGATTCTTCGAAGTAGCAAGGCAAGTTTTCCCTGGGCTGTTAAAGAACGGAGGCTTCACTTTGCAAGACTCTTGTAATGGGCTTACGTAAAATTATTTGTAAAAATATTTTCTGTTGATCAGGGACCGCAAATATCTATCAGTGAAAGAAGTCATGAACCATACAGTGGTAGAGTGTGTGTGTAAAAACATATTTTATACACACACACATATACTTACGTGTGCAATACATAACACCTATGCCATTGCTCTTTCTGATTTAAGTTTATGAAAAAGTTTTTATTTAAAAAATACACACTATGGAGAAACAACGTGTGTGTGTGTGTGTGTATATATATATATATATATATATATACACACACACACACATATATATCTTGTGTTATATATGTGTGTGTATATATATTGATGGTATACGTATATGAAGTGAGTATATGTGTATATACGCAGGACTTTTCCCTTCTACAGGTTTAGGATTTTAAAGAAGTTTGTTACAGTTTCATAACAAAATTAGATATAAGCTTTCTTGATAGGCTTGGAAATCCAGAAGGTCGTTTTACAAGCATCCAAGTTGAATTGTAACTAAAACTAAAGTCAATATGGCAGCTTTACCTGAGAGTCAGGTGGTCAGGGAAAAGATGTTCGCAGTCCTCTCTCTCCACTCCTTCTCTCTAGGTGCTCTTCGACAATAAAAAGGAAAGCCAGATTCCCAAGCCAGAGCCAACAAACAGAAGCAGTCATTTCCACAAAGAAAGTAACACTATATACAGAAGAGAGAGAATTCGGCAAATATCCATACATTCCCCACTTGATTTGTCAGAGAAATCTTTAAAAAGTAGCTCAAAATATTTACCCAAAAGAAGTTTCCCTTGGAGAAACCCTGATTAGTTTGCTGACATGGAGTTAGGAAAAGCACTGCCGGCTGGTAGCGGTTGGCTCACAAACCAAGAGGTGGAAACCAGGTGTCCAAGGGACTTTGTAGTTTGTTGATGAGAACATTCAAAATCCTGAGAGAGCTGGAGGAACCACAGAAAAGAGGGAGGCTGGTCAAACACCCTGCTCCCTGGGAAACCAAACTCTGAACTGCCAACCCTTCTTCCTGGCCCTCCCTCTTCCTTGGAGATCAGTTGTATTTTCAGCAAGAACTTCTTGGACTGTGTGTATCCTTTAAACTGATGTTTTAGCTCATGGTCTTTAGAGGCCAGAAAACTCAATTATTTTATTCATTCATTCATCCATTCCTTTATTAATTCAACAAACTTTTTGAGGTACTAGTAAATAGAAGAATAAACTTTTTTTTTTTTTTGTAGCTATGATGAACTGGAGGAAAAATCTTTATTAAGACACTATCAGACCTGTCAGGGATATGAGAAAGACTTTCATGCTCTCTAATATTATCCTAACTGTGAGCTCTCAGTTAAGTGGGAGAGATAAAAGATGCATGAGAACACAATATGGTAAGGGCCTTAGCCATAGGAGAAGCAAAGCTCTAAGAAAGGAGGAGCAAGGGTGGGCAGGGCACATCATGGTTTCTCCAGAAAGCCTGCACATCTGGGAAGCAACACATCAGACTCTAGTGAGCTTGACCAAGTGTCTTAACCTTTCTTTATTCTTACCTTATGTAATAGTATATATCCCTATTAAAATAAATAAAATAATGTTTATGAACGCACTCACTTAATTCCTGTCACTACAAGAATTTTTTTAAATGGTAGCTCATTATCTAAAGAAGAAAACCTTCCACTGAAGATAGATTGCAGAAGATGAATAGGATGATCACTACCATCCCTTCCTGGGTGTCTCAGAAGGATGAATAACAAGGGGCAAACTTTTAGCATCTTGTGACTTGGGTATGCCATGATGAGGGCTTCACTAACTATAACAGGCTTTCTCAAACTCCTACCAACCATGTCCACAATTCCCAAAATGCTAATTTTTGCTAACATCCAGAACTTATACCCAAATATAGTTAGGAATGAAGGTACATTCATAAAATAAATATAAAAACAAACTATAAATTCTAGAATAAATCTGGACCAGAAAATTTATAAAATAGTATTAACAATCACTGTCTCAGATGGACCATTCAAAAAATATTTTGGATAGGAATGAAAACAGGTTCTGAATCGACCAGGGAATGAAAGTGGGAAGATGAGAGCATGTGTTCAGGATATTTTTTGTTTTAAAACAAGCCAAAATACAGGAATAGCTTAGGCTAACCCATAGGTGTAGAATAAATTTTCAACCCTCAAATTGTAAAATATAAAGCTAATAGATTGCTCCAAAAATAAGGATAAGAAAATTAAAGCATTCTGGAGTTAGATGCAATGTCTCATCTGAGCCTCCAACATTTGTAGATGATGTCATGTTCAACTGGTAAGTTGGGGACCAGGGGCTTGAACCCACATACTTTTGGATCTTTTTTTTTTTTTTTTTTTTTTTTTTTTGGTACCAAGGATTGAGCCCAGAGGCACTTAACCACTGAGCTACATCCCCAGCCTTTTTAAATATTTTATTTAAAGATCTAGTCTCTCTGAGTTGCTTAGGCCTTTGCTGATTTGCTGAAGCTGGCTTTGAACTCACAATCTTCCTGCCTTAGCTTTCCAAGCCACTGGGATTACAGGCTTGTGCCACCACGCCCAGCTTGGATCTGTCTTCTTCATTGCTATACTCACTTGGCCAGTATGTCAGAAGGGCAGTCTCTACCATTTAGAACCATTCAGATTTAGGTTTGGTCATAAGAACACCTACATAAGAATGTAACATTTCTGGGATACATACACAGATACAAAAGTTACGGTTAGTATGTAAGTCTGTGGAGGATAGTTACATTCTATCTGAATGTAAACACGTCTTATATTTTTCAACCCTTAGCCCCTGGGAAATACTTTAACAAAAACTCTGCACAAAAATTCCAGCTAGGTTTCCACACAACCAAACTGTTACCATCTTCCGCCCATGAGACTTTCTTCCCATCCAAGACTGTCCCTGCTTTATCTTACCTACTATATGGGGTCTGCCACATAGTAGCCTGCCTGGCCTTGCTTCCCTTTCTGGCAAGATCTTGCAAACTAGCCCTATCCCTACATCAGCCTCAAAGGTTCTTCTTGTTTTCATTTGCTCCATCTTCCCTCTCCTTGAGGCTTCTTCTCAGTGAGATCTCAACCTGCCTTAAGACTGAGACCTTATGAGTTATGACAAGTCATGGGCTAAATCTTGCTATTTAAATTCATTTTAGTTTCATTGTAAACATCCCCATTACCAAGTAATTCTTAGAGTTATAACATACAGTTCCCTGATAGAATTAAAATGCAGACTCCCATAACTTTTTCAATTTCATCCTGCATACATATTAATTTAATATACTTATATTCAACACAGTCATTTATTAAGGTTTTAATTGGATCTCAGTTTTTCCCATCTACAGATTTAAAATGAATTCCAGATATCATAAAACTCTTCTTGTCATCCACTACATAAATTATGCTTCCATAGAAGACTGAGACTGTGACTGGAAGATCCATTAGAAAATGTTATGGGAAAGTCATTTTTTAAATATTCTGAGCCAGAATAGGAAATGATTTTTTCCCCCCTAGAAACTGCTGCACTAGTACAACTTTGACCTAGGAACTAATTGATATCCTAAAGCAGGTGTCTGTCTATCCATAACCCTATGTATGTCTACATCTACATCTGTATCCAAAAGCCTCTGTGGTTGTGCCTTTAAGGTATATATAATAAGAATGGTATGGGGTTAAGTTTCATTCCCCTCATTTTGGATAGCATTCATTCCAAAATGTTATCCAGTTTGCATTCCCAAGACTTAAGCTTATTGCTATTTCAAACCTTGCACAGTTCTAATTCAGATTTCACCATTATCCCTGACTGTATTGATACTCATCTGGGATGAACTCCAATACAAGTTATGCATGACTTAAAATTGCATTTTTAAATACTGTATATTTTCCCATTCCATTACATTCTCCCTTAACTTCATTTTAGTTCTGTCTTTCCTATTGTAAGTTCTCATCTTTTCTCAAAATTTTTAAATGAACCAAATAAAGAAAAAATAAGAAATCTGTTTCTCATTTAAAGAGAAGTCTAAAATTAATGCTCTTTACCTAATTTTCATTTCATAGAAAAATGTAGCTTCTAACCAAATTTATTTTTCTTAAAGAATCCCCCCTAAAATCTTTTTTAAACATAATAAATAGAAGGTAAATATGGCCAGAAGCACTGGCATGTAGTTTGAATTTGGTTTGTATTGGATTTCTCCAAGGCTATTGAAGGCTCCATTATTAATTGAGTCTGATATTTCTCAACCACGTTTCCCAGAGTTTATTTTCTTTTTATTATGAGATTCTTCCCATGTGTTTCTCAACACTCATCTAAGATTTCTCCTCTGAGTCATGCCTCCTCTTACATGCTTCCCTAAAAACATTAGAGTAGAAATTTGGTATTTGAAATGCATCCATGGTGGATCTGATGGAAACACTCACAGGAGGGGGGTCTAACAGGAGCCCCCTGCAGTCTGTTTGCTTGAAACACATTTTTTTTTCCCATTGAGTGATCTGGGCCTCACAATCCCTCCAGAA